ATGATGGGATCCATCCATGAGGGGCCTAATTTGGCGCAACATACCTCTTCTACTTTGGGGTCCTCAATGCTTGGTCTTGGTAGATAGTCAATTAGTAGTGGGTGAGGGATGGATGTATCTGCCATTGACACAAAGCTTACTAATTCGTCTGCTCTACTGTTTTCCTCCCTGCCAATCTGTTCTATCCTTACTACTTCAAATTTCTTGATCTCTGTTCTAACCAATTCTTGGTACTTGGCCATCCTGTCAACCTTTGCTTCATAGTCGTCAGAAATTTGGTTTACCACCAGCTGTGAGTCGCTGTAGACCATTAATTCGGTGGCCTTCATATAGAATACTGATTTGAGTCCTGCAAGAAGTGCTTCATACTCCGCTTCGTTGTTTGATGCTGAGAAGCCAAGGTTGATTGCTTGCTCCACAACCAGGCCGTCTGGTGAGATGAGGACTATGCCAAGTCCTGCACCATGCCGGTTAGATGCTCCATCCACAAAGAGCTTCCACATCTCACCAACGAACAACTTTCAGCAAGTGGAGGGATCAGATGATGTCGTGGGGTCAAGAATGTTGCTGGTGTTCTCTTCAAGGTCCATGCTTGCTGTTTGCCCCTCGCTATCTGATTGTACCAAGTCTTTATTTGTTGGTGAGTCTTGGCTCGGTGTAGCTTGGTTTGCTTCTTCCTTGCTGTCTTTATTCTGGTCTGCCTTGGGGTTTGACTGAATATCCTGCACCAGGGGTTGCGCTATTCCAGCGTCAACTTCTATTCCTGGTTTGGTTGTATCAGTCAGGTCGACTGGGCAGATATGATGACTTCCTGGGGTGAATTCTGCGAAAAAGTCTGTCAAAGCTTGGGCCTTTATCGCGGTTCTGGGTTGAAACTTGATGTCGAATTGTCCCAACTCTACTGCCCACTTTAAGATTCGCCCAGAAAAGTTTATCCTCTCAAACAGAGATTTTAATGGAAAAGCTATGAGGACAACTATGGTGTGGGCGTGAAAGTAGTGCGACAACTTCCTTGAGGCCATCATCAAGGCCAATGCCATTTTTTCCAGTGGCAAATACCTTGTTTCGGTACCCAGCAATGTCTTGCTGACATAATAGATGGGCAGATGTTGAATTCCTTCCGCACGGACCAACACTACGCTAATTGCGTGCTGAGAGACTGCCAGGTATGGGAAGAGTTCTTCTCCATGTATTGGGGTGACTAGTAATGGTGGAGAAGACATGTATTCATTCAAGTTTTCCAGAGCTCGGTCGCATTCTTCGTCCCATTCGAACTTGGCTTTCAATGCTTGAAAAAATGGTCGTAGTCTGTCTGACGACCGGCTAATGAATCGATTGAGTGCAATTGCCATGCTAGTGAGATGCTGCACTTTTTTTACTGAGTTAGGCCTCTCTAGATTCTGAATAGCTTTGATTTGGGATGGGTCTGTCTCAATACCCTAGTTGGTCACTAGGAAGCCCAGGAATTTGCCAGATCCTACATCGAACGCGCACTTGGATGCATTAAGGCACAACTTGTGCTTCTTCAGAATCTGGAATATCTCACCTAGGTCCCTTAGATGGTCATTCTCATCGTTGCTCTTAACCACCATGTCATCGATGTAAGCCTCCATTGTTCTGCCTAGCAACGGCTCAAACATCTTGGTGACCATTCTCTGGAATGTTGCCCCTGCGTTCTTTAGGTCAAAGGGCATGACCTTATAGCAATACAGTCCTCTTGGAGTGGTAAAGGACGTGACCTCCTGGTTTGGTTCGTACATGGCAATCTGATGGTAGCCTCTGTACGCATCCAGAAAGCTAAGTCAGTTGTGCCCCGCAGTCAGGTCTACCAATTGATCTATCCGTGGTAGGGGGAAGCTGTCCTTTGGGCATGCTTTGTTGACTGTCTTATAGTCGATGCAGACACGCCATTTGCCATTCTTCTTTGGTACCACGACTGTGTTGGAAATCCATCTGGGGTAGTGCACATCTCTGATAGCTCCTGCCTCTAGCAGATTTCCCACCTCTTCCGCCACTATCTCGACGTGGTGGAGTGCCGATCTGCGAGTGCGCTGAATGATTGGTCTGGCAGATGGGTGGACATTGAGTTGGTGACAGATGAAGTTTAGATCAATGCCTGGCATGTCGTAGGGTGTCCATGCGAACACTTCGATGTTAGAGGTCAAGAATTCCAAGACCTTTAATCTCTCAGTGCTAGACAACGACGAATCGAGCAAAAAGAACTTATCCGGGTTCTTTTCATCTATTCTTACCTCTACCAAATCTTCCACCGCTTTTTGATTAGCTACTCTGTCGACATCTGTGAACAGTTCATTACTCTCAGGTTCTTCTACCGAATGAATATATCCCTTGGCAGCGCGGCTGCCATTAGCCATGACAAAGCATTGCTTGGACATAATCTGGTCTCCAAAGACCTCTTCAATTACTCCAGTTCCGTTGGGGAACGCATTACTTGATGGTAGGATGATGCTACTGATTTCATGGCATGGAGCCATGTTCTTCCCAAGATTATGTTGTAAGTGGAAGGGACTTTCAATAACCAAAATTCCACTTGTTTTGTCATGCTTCCTGCCCTGACTGGCAGGATAATTTTGCCGACTGGTCATTCTGGCATTGAGTTGAATCCGATCAGGGGGGATACAGCCAGTGCAAGGTCTTTGTCCTCCAATTTCAGTTGTTTGAAGGTGTCGTAGTACATTATCTCACATGAGCTGCCTTGGTCTATCAGAATTCGTTTGACGTCATAATCCTTGATGCGGAGGGTGACGACCAGTGCATCGTTGTGAGGGCAATATATTCTTTCCAAGTCCTTGTCTGAAAAAGACATGACGTTCGTGGCCTCCGTTCTCCCCTTTTTGATGGTAGGTTGGGCACTTAGTACCTCCCTTAAGTGCTCAGCCTTCTTGATCGACCCTCTAAGCTCGCATACACGCTCAGGTTCGAATACTCCATGTATCACATTGATCACACCTTGAGGTGGGGCGTCAATTGGCATTCCATTGGGGTTATTGTGATCTTGGGGGGCTGGTTGCGTCCCTCCTTTAATGTATTTATCCAGGTGATCGGCAGCCACCAACTCCTCCAGATGCTGTCTCAATGGCATGCAATTTTCAGTGCGGTGCCCCTTTTCTTTGTGGAAGGTGCATCGCGACCTTTCGTCGTAGTCTTTCTGTGCTTCTCCTAGCTTTGCTGGCCATCTGACGAAAGGTTCATCACGTATTTCGCTCAGAATCTGATAGATCGGTTTCTTGAATACCGTGGTTATGGCTGTGCGGATTCTTAACCATCTTTTATCCTGGTCCTCTTCGTTGTCTCGCCTTCCTCATCCGTTTTTGTTCGAACGTTCTACCGTGTTGATCTTTGCTGTGGTCTTTTTATCTGGTACTGCGGTCGTGCCAAATTTTGTTTTGGCACGGGCGCCATCCTCTTCCACCCTGATGTGCTGATGCACTTTTTCCATCAAGGCTTCGTATTCTTTCAAGCCTTCCAGGGCATAGTCGCATTCTTCGTCCCACTTGAACTTGGCTTTTAACGCTTGAAAAAACAGTCGTAGTCTGTCTAACGACCGGCTAATGAATCAGTTGAATGCGACTGCCATACCGGTGAGATGCTGTACTTTCTTTACTGAGTTAGGCCTCTTCAGATTGAATGTCTCCCAGTAGCGACTATTGTAGGATCTTAGTGTCTCTTTTTCGCCCATGTCGATGGAGAGTAACTGGTCAATCTCCACCGGGGTTTTGGTGTTCGTTCTGAACCTTGTGATGAACGCCTCCGCCAATTGTGCCCAGGAGGCTATGCTGCCTTCTGGAAGTTTTTCGAACCAAGTTAAACCTAGATCACCAAGGCTTGATGGGAAGAGGATGCACATCAAAGCCTTGTTTCGCCGATATACCGCCAAAACCTGGCGGAAGTGGCTTAGGTGTATAGGGGTCCGTCTTTCCCTCATACGTGGTGAATTTAGGCTGAAGAAAGCCTGAAGGTAGGGGCGCATTTTCTATTGCCGGAACGAACGGCGAGGTCTGCAGCCTTGCTAATGCTTTGTCCGTTGGTTCGTAGGCAAGGTACGGTAATGGCATTCCAACCTTGACGCTTCCATACGTCCGAGGAGCCAACCGCTGAAAGGCAGATACCCTGCAAGGGTCGCGCGCCCTAGTATCCTCCTTCAATCGTGCCCTTTCTTCCAGCATGATCCGCAAATCGGATGATTTGGGCAACGCCGTTTGCCTGGATGATGTCTGGTGCGAACGCGAAGGTCGATAGGTACTTCCCTCTGTGTAAGACCTCAATGATCTCGTTCTCTCAGACCTGGAGAAACGAGTTCTGGAGGTTTTGGATTGAGTATCGCCTGTCCTGAGGCTTCTACTCTCTGCTTGCGATGGTGTGGAATGCCTTCTATGGTCTTCTGAGCGGCGAGGGGGCGTTTTGCTTTTGCGCCCCTCTCCTGTCGCCACTCCTTTTCCCTTCATCTGGCGCTTCATGGCCTCCATTTTAAGTAAATTTATTATCACTTTTTTGAGTTTATAGAGTTTATCTCTTTCAATTCTTTTTTTTTTCCCCCACATGACGCTATAGTTTGATACAAATTATTTATACTGTCAAATGATTGTGATAATATTACTCCCAACAATCTTCATAATTAATAAATTTTTATACATATCAAATTTTGTTGTGAAATTTTGTAAGTTAATTATTGTTAACATCTACCATGATTCCTAACATCATGGCTTGCCATAATTAAGACATAATTCAAGATTAAAATAATTTATTTATCCCAAAAAATATATACTGTCTTTTTTTTTTTTTTGGTGCATCGCACCAGTTACTGCTAGTTCATAGAAAGAAACTAACGGAGTTTCACCCTGCGTCCCGCCTCTGCATATAAAATTTGAAATAAACGTGTCTCCACCGCCCATGACTTCATGACAACTACTTTATATATATATATATATATATACATTATGTGTAGACTTCTCTCTCCATTGACTCCTGCTCTTTCCATTTCTTAGGTGGAAACAATCATCGATTTGGTTACGAGCTCAAATCAAATAGAATTGAATTCTCACAAATTCAGGAATCAATGGCTATCGGAGAGCTCTTAATCGCCGCTTCAATCAAGTTTCTATTTGAGAAGTTGGCCACTTTAGCCGCCGGCGAGCTGTCGAACTTTGCACGCGGCTTCGGCGGAGAGCGGCGAATTCGTACTCTGTTGACGAAATGGAGCACAACTTTGGAAGAAATTGAGGCAGTTCTCGTTGATGCTGATGAGAAGCAAGTCACCGAAAGAGGTATTAAGATTTGGCTTGAAGATCTTCAGGACTTGGCTTATGACGTCGATGACATACTCGACGAGTTCTCCACCGAAGCTTTGCGACCTAAGTCGATGATCACTACCAAGGTACGTGCACTAATTCCAACCAAGATTGTCAAATTAGATGAGATCACTACCCGATTCCAAGATCTTTTGGAACGTAGAACTGTGCTCGGCTTGCAAAAGGTGGGTAGTAGTAGTAATGCAGGGACATCTGCTAAAGCTTGGCAAAGACCACCCACCACATGTTTGATGAATGAACCTAGTGTATATGGGAGGGATGAGGATAAAAAGAAGATAATTGAGTTGCTCTTACTAGGTGTTGAGGAGTCGAGCAATTGCAATATTGGGGTAGTTCCGATTGTGGGTATGGGTGGGGTTGGCAAGACCACCCTTGCTCAGATGGTGTACAATGATGACATGGTCGGGAAGCACTTTGAAATAAAAGCATGGGTTTGTGTCTCTGAAGATTTCGATATTACACAAGTGACAAAAGCAATTTTGGAGTCCGTCACTTCCTAGCCTTGCAATTTTGGTACCTTGGATCAAGTCCAAGTCCAACTAAAGCAGATTTTGGATGGGAAAAAGTTCTTGATTGTTTTAGATGATTTTTGGAACAAAAAACACAGTGATTGGAGCAGTTTGAAGAGCCCTTTCAACGATGGAGCCCGAGGAAGTAAAGTCATGGTAACAACACGTAACACAGATGTTGCGTTGATGCTAGGAACCGCGAAATGTCATCACTTGAAGCAATTATCAATGGATGATTGTTGGTCGGTGTTTGCACAAGATGCATTTGAGAACACAATTATGGAGGCAAGCGCGAATTTGGTTTCAATTGGTAGGAAAATAGTTGAGAAATATGGAGGCTTGCATTTGGCTGCTAGGACACTTGGTGGCCTTTTACGTTGTAAACTAAGAGATGATGAATGGGAAGATGTATTGAATAGTAAAATGTGGGAGTTATCAGATCAGGAAAGTGACATTCTTCCGGCTTTGGGGTTAAGTTACCATCACCTCCCTTCACATTTGAAGAAGTGTTTTGCATACTGTTCAATACTGCCCAAAAATTGCCGGTTTACTGAAATGAATCTAGTTTTATTGTGGATGTCTGAAGGCTTCATTCAACAACCAAAAGGAAAAGGAAAGAAGCAAATGGAAGATCTTGGGCACGAGTACTTTCATGAATTGTTGTCCAGGTCATTTTTTCAACCATCAACTATTGGTGAAAGCTCAAAATTTGTGATGCATGACCTCATCATTGATCTGGCTCAGTTTGTTGCAGGAAAAATTTGTTTTCGGCTGGAGGATAAGTCGAAAGTTAATTAGCAGTACAAAAATCTCAGTAAGGCTCGCCATGCATCTTACATGCCTGACAAATATGACGGCATCAAAAAGTTTGAGGCATTTTATGATGCCAAACATTTACGTACCTTTTTACCATGTGGGGATATTATGGACGTTATTTGACCAGCAATGTTTCCCATGATTTGTTTGCCAAAGCTTAAACGTTTACGGGTGCTTAATTTGGGTGAATATCAAATAGGTGAACTGCCAAGTTCGATCGGACATTTAAAGCATTTGAGGTATCTTGATCTTTCGAGAGCCATATTTATTATGGAGGTTATTTGACCAGCAATGTTCCCCATGATTTGTTGCCAAAGCTTAAACGTTTACGCGTGCTTAATTTGGGTGAATATCAAATAGGCGAACTGCCAAGTTCGATCGAACATTTAAAGCATTTGAGGTATCTTGATCTTTCGGGAGCCATATTTTGTTCATTACCCGAATCACTGTGCACTCTCTACAATCTACAAACACTCATATTAAGATATTGTATACAAATGAAGAAGTTGCCTACAGCCACAGGAAACCTAATTAACTTGCGTCATCTCAATGATACTGGTGCAAATTCCTTACAAGAAATGCCACCAAAAATGGGTCAGTTAACAAGTCTGCAAACATTATCAAACTTCATTGTTAGCAAAGGAAATGGGTTCATGATAAGAGAGTTGGGGGACTTAATTCATCTTAGAGGGGCATTTTGCATATCCGGGTTGGATAATGTGGTGGATGCAAAGGCCGCTAAGTTATATGAGAAGCAGGGCTTAGATGAGTTATTGATGGAATGGAGTAACACTAATTCAGAAGATTCACGAAATGAAAAGGTTGAATTAGAAGTGCTTGACATGCTACAACCAGACAATAAGGTTAAAGTACTTTCCATCAATGGTTACTATGGTCCAATATTTCCAACTTGGGTTGGAGATCCTCGGTTTTCTAATATGGTGCACTTACTGTAGGAAAATTGTGAAAAATGCACATGCTAATTATCCTCACTTGCAAAACTTTACATTTGAGGAATGAAAAGAGTAGAGAATGTTGGCCTTGATTTCTTTGGGGGGGGTTGCTCGAACCCTTTTCCAGCTCTAGAGACTTTACACTTCTGGGATATGCCGGAATGGGAGGATTGGTCTCCTTTTGAAGTTGATGAGGAAGTTCAAGCATTTGCTCACCTCTCAGAGCTCTGCATTCAAAGTTGTCCCAATCTTTTGGGTAAATTGCCTAACAGTCTTCCTTGCTTAAGAAAGCTTGAGATTCAGAAGTGTCCACAGTTGGTGGTTGAATGGCTTCCGAGCCCTACAATGATCCACCACAAGAGGAATACCCTCCAATTCAGTTCAGTCACCTCCTTATCTCTCAGTGATGTTTCAATTTTGGACTCTATTCCAAATCAAGAGGTAGGCGATGAAGTATTAGCAACTGCAGCATGTAAACATTTGAGCTCAGTGACTGATATGAGAACAGAAAATATTCAGAAACTCATATGCCTGCCTAGATGGTTCTTTCATGGGTTTACGGGACTCCAAGAATTGAGGATACATAATTGTGAAGAACTCACAACATTGTGCCAGAATGAGGTCAAACTACAGCACAAACTCCCTGCCCCTGCCTTGCAACATTTGGAGATTGAAAACTGCCCCCAACTTGTTTCCTTGTTCGAAGAAGAAGAAGATAGTCCACAGTTGCAGCGACAGCAGCAGGAGCAAGAGGGGTCGCCTTACTTAATGGGGCTTATGTATCTGGGAATTGATAATTGTGAAAAGCTGGAGAAGTTGCCAGGGGGACTGCATGCCCTGAAATGTCTTCAGAAAATGAAGGTTCAAAATTGTCCATCGCTCACCAGAGGTGGGCTACCTGCTGCACTTGAACAACTTGATATTGCTCATCTATCGAAGCTGGAGTCACTACTAGCAGAGGACGGTATGAAAATTAGTTGTCCATCTCTTAAATCGATTCGAATTGAATCTTGTAAAACCTCAAATCCTTGCCCGATGCCATGCATGATAGCAGCAACAATAATGAATTCAAAAATCTCAGCCTAGTGGACACAAAAGGTTGTGAAAACATGGAGTCCCTTCCGGAAGGTTGGTTCCAGTTCGCCACGTTGAATCTGAGAGACTTGGTTATCTACGACTGCAAAAGCTCAAGGCCCTACCATACAACCTCAGTTCTCTTCAAGAGCTGAAAGTATGCAGATGCCCTGCAGGAATTGTCTCCAACTGGAGTTCTCTCACGAACCTTTTCCCTTACCATCGACACGATCATGATCGGTAAGCCCCCATCAGAGTGGGGTTTGCACAAATTACCCTCTCTTAGAAAACTCCTTCTTAATGGTTCAAAAGATTGCCGTTGGGAGTCCATTTCAGAAGATGGAATGTTATTGCCCACCTCTCTGATCTACCTATCCTTCCAGTATTTTCCAAATCTAGAGAAGCTATCTTTCAAGGACTTTCAAGACCTCACCTCTCTTGAAGAACTTGTCATCTATTATTGCCGTAAGCTCACTTCTTTGCCAAAGGAAGGGCTGCCTCCCTCGCTTTTGTATCTCTGGATCCTGGGTTGCCCTAAATTTGCATCGTTTCCGGAGCAAGGGCTGCCTCCCTCGCTTTTGTGTTTGGATATCAAAGGATGTCCGATACTAAAAAAACGGTGTCAAAAGGGGAAAGGCCGATATTGGCGCTTCATTTCTCACATTCCTCGCGTCGACATAGATGGTAAATTCATCCTTGACGCAAGCTGCTAAAGAACAAGTTAGGTGCGTCAAATCATTAAAATATACTTAGTACTCTCCCTTTCTTTTCTTTTCTTTTTTTTTTTAATTAAAAAAAAATTTAATTTAATTTATATTTTGGGATGTTATCTCTCATCTGAGTTGCCCTCATGTGGTTGTAAAATGTAGAAATTAAAAAGAGAAACAGTGAAGAAGGGCCACTTCTTCCCTCTGACTGCAACCTCTCTGTCAACATTTTCGAAACATCATCTTGCAATGCAAATTCCACTGTAAAAGGTAATTGCAATCACATGCATCGTGATCGAAACCCATACTACTTTCCTTATTGTTTTTCTTGTTCGATTAGCCCTCCGTTTTGTGTTTGAAAATATACTATACTTTTAAATTTGAGTTTTTACGTTCAAGCTGCAGGTGGTGATTAATAATCCAATTCAATTCAGGTGTGATTTGAGGTTGGGTTTTTTTTGGTGATCTTTTTTATGAGGTAAAAAAAATTACTAATATATGGGAAAGAATAAAGTTGTACATATTAATTGGTGTATTAATCGATGATGTGATATAATTTAAAGGTTTTACATATTTGTAATTTGTATAATTGATGGATCCATAGTTATGAGGTGATAATGTCATAATATGCACGTAACATTACTGTATTAGAAAACAATAAGTTTAGGAAGTCTTCCCAATTTGTTCAAAAATTTATCAACTCCCAAATTATGTTAAGGTTAGGTTGTTGTATATATATATTTTTCCTTTTAAATAAAAAACAGCTTCCATAGTGAGTTGCCATCCAGGGAGTTGGTAAATTTTTGGATAAATTGGGAAGGCTCCCTAGTTTTATTGATTTGAAAATGACTTTTTTAGTTGTATGAAAAAACATAAATTTCTTGTGTATGACTTACTTTTTTTAGTGACTTCTTGATTTTTGAGAACATACTTTCTTAGTGATTTTTTGATCGATTTTTTGGTATTTGTTGACTTTTTAATTTTTTTTAGTGAATTTTTACTTTTAAGACTAAATCACAACTTGTCAAATGGGGAAGTATTTTTTTTTACTTTTTAGTTGCATCTTTTGTTTTAGTAGTTTTTTAACTTTTTTAACCAGAAAGCCAAACTTCCCAATCAACACTTTAATTAATTCTAGATGTATTAAGTGATAATTAATTAAGAAAAATTTTATGATACACACCTACTATTGGATTGTGTACCATATGCCCAGTAATGACTTTTGTATTATTTGGTTTTGATTCATTGTGTTGTTTCGTTATGGTATGACCACGGCTTTTTAATGTATTAATTATGATTTAGTTATGACTTTTTTTTTTATTATTATTTTGATTATGATTGAAAAGGTCTTTAGTTATGCCTCAAGTTATTACTTGATTATTGTAATATTGGTTATGACCTATGTGATTATTAATTTAGTTATAACAAAAAAGATCTTTGGTTGTCTTTAAATAATGTTTGATTATAACAAAAAAGATCTTTGGTTGTCTTTAAATAATGTTTGATTATGTTTGGTTGTCTGTAATATTGGTTATGACATAGTGATCGAAACCCATACTGCTTTCCTATTTGTTTTTCTTGTTTGATTAGCCCCTCTCTTTCATTGTCGTATGTAAAGAAAGATCATTGTTGTATCATTGAATTTACCCATACTGCTTTCCTATCTGCAACGTGGTATGTAAAAGAGTAAATCCTTCACATCAACTTACCTGCCTACATGTAATTAGAGATTTCTAGAATTGTTGGGAAAATTTTCATGGTCACGGTAGACTTTTGACTTTTAAATTTGAGTTTTTAAGTTTAAGCTTCAGGTGGTGATTAATAATCCAATTCAGTTCAGGTGTGGTTTGAGGTTCGCTTTTCTTTTTTTTCCTTTTTTTTTTATGAGGTGAAAAAGATTACCAATATTGGAAAAGAATAAGTCTAGGAAGTCTTTCTAATTTACTCAAAAATTTACCCACTCCCCAATTATGTTAAGACTAGGTGATTGTATATATATATTTTCTTTTAAATAAAAACAGCCTCCATGGTGGGCTGCCATGTGTGCAATTGTTAAATTTTCAGTAAATTGGGGAGGCTCCCTATTCTTATTGATTTGAAAATGACTTTTTTAGTTGTATGTAAAATTCTTTGTGTATGGCTTACTTTTTTAGTTACTTTTTGATTTTTGAGAACATACTTTTTTTAAAGACTTTTTGATTTTTGAGAACATACTTTTTTTAGTGATTTTTTAGTTGACCTTTTGCTA